TGGAATAGATTGAGAGAACATACACACTTCATGAAAGCGGATAGCCCTTTCTATTCTCACAAATAGTGGCCGATTTCGTCAACAATAAGATGCTTATATAGTTAGTGACAATTAGGGTAAACCCTAATTGTCATGGCTTTCCATTTCCTTGGATCCATGGGTTCAAATACACCATGGAGCATCCATGGAGCATCTTATGGGTTTTAGCCCATCTTGACAATCCATGAAGCATTAGCCCACTATACAAGTATGGATGATTTACACAATCAACACATATATTTAATTAGTCTTCTTTTGATCACTTAATTAATCCTAGATTAATTATTGATTAATACTAAGTAAATAATCTTATTAATATATTAGAACTTATAATATATTAACAAACCTTAAGTGTTATTTCTCTCATTATATTCTATCCAAATGCACGATGCAATGCAACCCAAATGGACCACGCCGGGTCGGGTGAAGTCTTACCAATTATAGTTATGGACTTAGACATTAATCCAATAAGTGTGGCCAACAAAAAGTGAGGGAAACATCCCTCCCACACCCTCCAGTCTAATCAATAATCTCACTCATGCATGATTGGAAAATTGTATGTGTTAGCACGATCGGCGTGATCATCCTTTGATGGTTTGATTGCACGTTCATCTCCTGATAAGTGAGGATTAATGAATTATATTTTGAAATTTTAATGGGTCTTAAATAAGTTTGACTATATTATTTATATATAATACATAATTTTTATGTATTAAAATAAAAACTTAGCGGTTCGGTTAATCATGGTTCGGTTAACCTATAAAACCATAACCGAACCGTTTGTTATCGGTTAACAAAATTAGAAACCGAACCAACGGTTTTTAAAATGGTTCGGTTATATTGGTTAATTTGGTTATGGTTTGGTTTTTTTGGTTATTATGCTCACCCCTATTTTGAATTGTAGATTTTAACTATTTAAGCCTATAGGATCATTTTTTCTATAAAAATACTATAAAATATTTTGTTAAATGATTTTAAAAAATTAATAATTTAAATTAAAAGATGGAAGTTTCACAAAGTCAATGACTTGATGAGTAAAATTATTTTATCTTTCAATTTTCTTATGGTGAAGCTAGCTTTATCAACATGTGTCAAAGATGGTGTTGTCAGTATGGGATTATAGAAGATCAACAACATGGTTTGAGAGACTTATCCATAAACTAACAAATATTTGAAGCTTCATGATATAGATTGGTGTGTATTTCAAGTCAAGACAAGTTTCCTTACTTGTAGAATACTACAATATTCTTAGGTATTGCATTGATAGTCGGACATAGTATGTTCTCACATTCGCTTATGTATAAAGAACATAGAAAAAGGGTAAGAAACGAATAAGTTAGGAAGGTTAGAAGTTGGGAGAAAATTTGTCCCTAAGCGTGGAATGGAATCAACAATGAAATTTGTTGATTCTGAATTATTGTGGCATGGTAACCAACTCACCATAGTAGAGTGAGTGATGAGTAGGATTCATACATGTTTGTATGATAGAGAAATAAATAGCAACATACTTCACCCCCATGACACGGTAGGGAGGTCACCATGACATGATGGCGTAATTAGAAACCATTGACCTCGAGTAAATGGTCGTCACGATGTGGTGTTATAGTAGATCAGAACCTCAGTTTTCAGTTATTCTCAGCATAAGAAACCCTAAAACCATCTATAGATGAGATCTAGAAATTTGGATAAGGGAGAAGTATTAAAGGGAAATTATGAGTGTTTATTGTTTAGATTGGAAATTAGAAACTCATGAGGTAATCATCTTTTCCATCCTTAATCTCTCAGGGATTTAATGGTGATTAATGGAATTAAGTTAGACATGAATGATTAACTTGAAACAGCTAGTTAAATGATGGCATTAGTAGTGTTTAAAAGCTTTGAATGAGCTTTATGTGTCATTTCCATGGTGAAATCACTATGTGTGAAGTTAGTGTTTAAAACCCTAAACTAGAAATTATGTTAATCAATGCATTAGATGTAGGATTATGATGAATTAAGTATTATGGTATGCTTAATTTATTGTTCGGATTGAATTTAGAAGTAGAGAATGAAATGTTAGAATTATGATAAATTAAGTGATCATTTTTACATTAAGAAGTGGATAAGCTCTTAATAGGCTAAGACAGGTTTTAAAGAACTTGAAATGTTGTATGAATGGGCCTTGAGCAAGAGAATGAGATAAGATATACTAATTGAAGAAAAGTGTCAAGAAGGGTAGTTAGTCCTCACTAACTAACAAAGTGAGTTAAAACTCTCACCCTCTCTAAATGTTGTTATATATATATATATATATATATATATATATATGTGTGTGTGTGTGTGTGTGTATGTGTGTATGTGTGTGTGTGTAGGTGAGACTCATGTATCAGAGCATGATAAAGAGAAAGAAAGAAGAGGGTTATATGCATTATAATCATAAGTGAGATTATGTACTTGTTGTTATACACCTAAAATCATGTATATGAGCATGTGTGTATAACCAAAGTATGTAGAGGTTTACAGAGAGATAAAAGGGTGTTATGAGTAATATTCTTGAGAGTAGATAGAAAAAGAAAGGGATTATAGGTCTTATAATCTCATGTATGAGTAGGTGATGAGAAAATGTATCTATGGATAAATAAGAGTTTGTACATAGAGATAAATATTCATTATTTGTAGTATAATCATAATGTATGTATCTAGGTCTATACATGGATGGTATTGTGTAGAATACCTAAGCGTTACTAGACATGGATACAGATTAAGTACTTAATGAGTTAAGTATTAAATGTTTAGTAGAAGATCTATTGAGTAGATAAAGAGATAGAGGTTCCTTCGGGATTGTAATAGAGGTCCCTTCGAGGACAAGATTATGATTCCTTCAGGAATGTGACATAGGTTCATTCGATGACAAGATGACGATTCCTTCGGGAATGATATAGAGGTTCCTTCGGGGACATGAGTGAGATTCCTTTAGAAATGAGATGCACACCCCGTTAGAGCTGAGCGCAGGGCGCGGGAGTACAAAGGGTCTCATTGCAAAAGTTAAAAGACAACACCAACCATAGAATTAAAAATCATTACAATTTACAATGACTTTCAACAACTTTTAAAATAAATTACAATGTATTTGAAAAAAAACAATACATGCGAACGCTCCTAAAAGTGATGCGTCTTTAGGTGCTTCTTACTAGATGATTCCTGAAAATGCTTGTAAAATGACTGGTCAAGTACTGAAATAGTTGGTGAGTTCATATCTTTATAACATAACATAGTTTTAAATCATGAAAATCGAAATATTGATCAAAGTTTCCATAAATGGAAGTTCGTTGCTGAAATGAGTAACAAGTTTGCATAAACAACAGTTCGTTACTAAAATGAGTAAACAAGTTTGTATATCAAAGTTCATCGCTATCATGAGAAACAAAGTATGTTACCATCATGAGAAACAAATTTCGATGCTAACATGAGAAAGAAAGTCCATTATTATAATTAGAAATAAAGATCGTTATAATGAGAAATAAAGAACGTTTCCAACAAGAGAAACAAAGTCTGTTACCATCATGAGAAACAAAGATCGATACCAACGTATGAAACAAAGTCTGTATGTGCAAAGTGATCAACCCATGAGTACACAACTTAAGACTAATAACTGAGTGAGGCCCTTTTGAATACTATTTCTATTGCTAACATAGGGTAAAATATGGGAAAATGCTCTTTGTGAACCTTGCGAGCGAGGAGTTGTCTACCTCCTAATAGAATTATCCATAATGACCATGGGCTCAAAAGACTTAATGAGTTGTGTGAAATGATTCTAGGGACTTAACCATGATACATGCCTCATGAATCAACAATTCCAAACACATACATAAATATCACATTTATACAATTTAACTTAGGTACAAAAAACATATTTGATTTTACGACATGCTTTTCCACCAAAAAACATGAAAACAGTAAAAAGGGGTTATGAATAATCACAACTTAGTTTATGATGATGTTAATGATTCCTCAAACTATGATCCACTCGTACCACTACCATGTTCTACAATATCATTACACACCAATAAGTTCTTATTCGAAAATATAATGCTAGTATACTTACCCGTAACTATATTTGGTAAGTACTCGACCTGGTTGTGCATGGTCCTTTTCGGTTGCCTTCACCAAAGCAACTTGATAGGGTGATTTATGAATAAAGAGGTTGATATGGTTTATTAATAAATTATATGAATAATATATTAAAGGAGAAATCATATAGTTTGATTAATATTAGACAAGAATTAATTTTGTGGCCAAAAGACATAAATTAAATAAAGGGGACTTAAACTGTCAAATGTAAGAAAGTTAAGTATTAGGCTAAGAAGCCTCTTGGACAAGGCATGGACGAAATTAGGAATGTGTCCATCTTAATTTCGGCCATAAGGGCCTTATTCCAGAAGCTTCCTTGGATTGCTTAAGGCCTAAATTGTCCATTAGGGTTTAAACTGAAACCCTAGCAGCATCAGTATAAATAAGACCCACTCATTGCGCGTCGTAAAACGCTCAGACGACGCGCAAATGCGTGTCAAGGAAGACCCTGTCATAAAGAGAGACGACGCGCTTTTGAGCGTCGTCTATAGACGACGCGCATTTACAACGCACATTTATGACGCACATTTACGACGCGCGGTTATGACACGCAATGTGTATCAAGGAAGGCCCTATCATAAAGGAAGACAACACGCATTTGTGTGTCGTAACCTTACAACGCACGTGTTTATGACACGCAATGCGTATCAAGGAAGCCCCTGTCAAGAAAGGCCATGTCATAAATGAAGACGACACACATTTTTGCGTATCGTAATTTTAATTTTTTTTTTTAAAAAATATTTATAGATTTACTGATTTTCAAATTAAATTTGCATTTCATGTCTCGTAATAGAAAATAAAATACCATATACAAAAAATATAATACATTGTAATACATTGATATTAAAGGGATCTGATTGTACATTGTTATTAAGAGGTTTTCCCTAACTATATAACCTAATACTACATTACTATAAAGGGAACCTTCTTTTTTAAGTAACTCATGATTAAGCTGTCATAAGAAGCTCGGAAACCCTTCATGTATCCAACCAATGATCATGTCTATTAGCTTAAATATGAATCCCAACACTCAATAAAGAACAACACGGAAATGCTACACGATAATCATGTCAGTTGTACAATATCAATATCAACTAATTAATAATACACATGGTATGTATGTATGAGAGTGGAATCAAAATGATCTACCAATAAGAGTTTTGTATTGCCTTGAATCAAAGTATTTTTGATGGCCTCAAAGGCAGCTCCCAAAGGATACTCCTTACCTGTGCCATCTTCCTTTTGAATTTGCAGGAGTGTCGGGCAGTTCAAATCAGAAAAGAAAACCAACCAAACCATTACACTTTTATCCTTGTTCATGTTAAAAAATTCCTTTCTATACATATACATATCTAGAGAGTGACAATTAATCAACACAAAACATACCACCAGACCTGGAAGGCTGCCCTGGCACATAACTAATTGATATTATGCACGACTTGAATTCCATAATGGAGATGAGTAATTGAAGGGAACCAATAGTATATAAACAACTCAAGACAGAAAACTTACCGTTGACGTGACAAAATATAATAAACCAAAGTGCCATATGCTTTAAGAAAGATTTGTAAAAACCTAATCATTGGTTCAAAAACAAAATATATTGAACAAAATTCATTTCATTTGATCACGAAATGAAAAGGGTCAGCAACATAAATACTTGGGAACCCATAATTAATTGGAGCTGATGATGGATTTTATCAACAAATTGGAGCTGATGATGGATTTCACACCTTTCTAAAGTACAAGTCCTATCAGACTTTGAATGATTCAAGACTGCAACAGCCACAAGAGGTGCACTCTGTGTTTAACGATTTCTTCCTATTCCTGTTGTTGTTAAAATTCTATTTTTAGCATGTGCTACTGCTGCTTCTTTATCTGCTTCTGGTTTCTCAGTTTCTTTTCTGCTTTTTTCTTCAACAATAATACTTCCTTTATCATCAGTTTTTGGCACTTTACTTTCTTTATTGATTAGGGATTCAGATGGGACAACTTCATCACTGAAGGAAAAACAGTTAAACATTAAATACTAATATAAAAAGAACAACAACATTAAGAATAATTGGTAAATAAAACTTGCAGGATAAACATCGACCTAGATTCAATGTCTCTTGTGGAATGTTTGCCAATAGTAGTAGCCTTCGAATTGGATGCTTCCTGTAACAGAGAAAAGTTAACATTCCAAAGTTTAGATAATATTATAATATATATATATATATATATATATATATATGTATGTATGTATATATGTATGTATGTATGTATGTATCCTTACATTATTGGCAAATGAAGTTGAATCTACATCATGGTCCCTGATATCTTGAATTTCGTCATCATCTTGCACCTCTGTTGAATATAAACAATCGAACATTTCAGTTATAGTCGATTATTTAACAGTTACCATATAAAGGATGTAAATTTGAAAAAAAAAAGATCTATGATAATTAAGATGAATACCAAGGATGCTTTGAATTTTAGATCTTCAAGGTCAAAATTCCAAGCACCAACACCTCGCTGATACTCACTCTGTTTATCATCATCAACAAGAAAAAAGAATTAGACACACAAAAACTATAATTAGAAAAGAAAATAAAAAAAACAAGAAAATAATGCTTCTTGTAACCATCGATATGGTTTCTTGCTCGGTTGAAGGCATCTTTTTAAGAGCTAGTTGGGCAACATCTTTTGGCTGCAGATAGATATTTATGAATTATATATAAATAAATGTGAAAATACAGTTTTATAAATTATACGGTGGATGCATACCTGGGGGGCTTTGACACGATGCCAAAGTCGTGGCAAGTCACCAAATAATTTCTTGGCAGAGAGTTCTGGAGCTTTAGCTTTCTTAAAAAAAAGAGAGAAAGGTTTAACAACTTCTCAACATTGCCACCATTTCTTTAAAATACTGTTTTTTCACAATTGGGCCCTACCGGATGACTTTGGAAGAAAGCCTCTTCAGATGCAAGTGCATCATGTATTCCACGATTAAGCTTAATATCCTGTGAACATAGAAATGATGTTAGAAGATTGTATACTATTCACAACCTTTCTCAACTCATGTATTCCATGATTAAGATTACTATGTTTTCAGAATTCAGATATATGGGGATTTGTTGTTTCAAGCACTAAGGAGATGACAGCTGGATCTGCTTCTGTTTGGTGGTTTGATATCAAAATCACATATTCTCCATGATGGTTTATTAATAAGTATTAGGATTTGAACTAATCATATTCATATAATATAGAATAATAGAAACAAGTATGGGAATGAGAATGAGGACCTAATTAAGTTGTTGGTCTATTTTAGTGAAAAGGGAGAGAGTGAGTGGGCCCCTATTTCAGCAATGACTTCATAGCTCTGATCCACATTGACTTCTGGTTGGACATTCCATAGAAGAGAACTTGCCCTTGTCATGGTTGTTTCCATTTGAGCAACATGAACAGATCCACCAATTTTTTCAGGCAGAGTGAGTGGGCCCCCGTTTTCTGCTATTTTTTCACAATAACTCACCAATGCGGGGTCCATCTGTGATAGCATTCCATGCACCTGCAACCCCAAAAACACTTCAATCACACCAAACTTTGATCTTTTATATGTGCAGAGGACATAATTGCCCTTGTCATCAAGAGTAGTCTTAGAAAGCTTTGTAATTAAGTAAAAGAAAATGGGCCAAATTAATTCCTTTTCATATCTTTATAGTGTTATCACAAGTCGCAAATTGTTAACATTTCTGTAAATCAAAGAAAAGCTTCAAAAGGCAAGCTTCAATTTTCAGTAGGCCATCTTGAAAGACAATCATGAAACAGAATATTACCCCAAATTTGGCTCATCTTTCCTCATCTTTAAGTTTAGCTCATAAGCCATATGTCGCAAGACACAAGTCCTAATTTTTATAACAAATTAATTCCAAATCAAATAAATTAATTTGATCAGAATGTTAAAGAAGTACAAAAAAATGAAGCTGAAATTAATAAAATTGATTATATATACTATTATTTATACTTACAAGAGCCTTCCAAAAGCATCAATTATGTGGTTCTCACCTCCACCACCACCACCGTTGTTAATGGAACCCATGATGGATCGAGGTTACTTATCTAAATTTGATGAGTAGAGACTTGGAAGGGTAATGTCAGTGCATCCCATCTACTTCAGTAGCAGGGTACGAGGTTGCACCGTGTAAACTCAGGGATGGGGTCTGCAAGTCCAGTAAAGCTAACGCCACCCAGAGGCATATAAAAGTCAAACAAAAACATTTAAAATGTCATATATATGTAGGTTGTACTAAATTTAAGGAAATACAAGAGATTTATAATTATTAATCACAATGCATGGTATTTATAACTCCAACTAAAAGTATCCATAAGATTTCTCCCACTGAACACATTTACTAATTCTTGGTTAGGAGTACTATCAGACATCACCTAAATTCAAAACGAAATTGGTATTAATGTTAGTAAACATATGAAGTAATTAAATCTAGATTTCACAAGTGTAACCATTCATCCGAAACAACAGTTCTCATCAAATATTTGAAGAAATTTTCTTGTCATTTTTTCCATTAACCATTTGCATAACTCTCTTACTAAAGATATAATAATATTATCTAAAACAACTCACCTGCCCAAGGATTACACTGTTGCCAAATCAACATGAAAATGAAGTCAATTTTCTACTACTCATGTCACAAGAGAATGATTTCCAGCCAAAACTTCAAAGGATGAAGGGACTATTATACCCTTTGGAAGAAAAGCCTCTAAAATCTGCAGTTTTTGGATAAAGAAACATGGTTCAAAACATTCCAAGATAAAAACTTTATTAAGGAAGTCACATTGAAACCTATAGTTTAGTATCGAGGAAAGAGAGGGGCAGAAGAGTAAATTTAGTTGGGAGTTTTAATGGCTGCAAACAATGGTCAATGGATACCTCATTCAATTGCCAATAATTGTAATACAAAGTCAGCTTGCATCTCACAAGTTCAAATGGTGATCTTGTTAAGCATGCCTAAAGAAAACAAATGATAAAACACATATAATAAGCTCATGAATCGGGAAAAGATAAGTTGGAATGAATACCTTAATTGCCTTAGGCATTTCATCAAATGACTTATAGGTGACCGGGGTTTGGATAGGCTATCACTGGCGGATCGATGATGGCTACTGCCCATAGGACTACCAGATAAACACTAAAAACATAAACATAAACATAAACACAGGAGATATAATATTCAAAATTTCATATGTCTATCGAACGAGATTACTCACCCTCTCGGGAATAACTCCTGTTATCTTCTCTATCCAATCCATCTGATCAAGTTCTTGTTCCCCTTATTTGCTGAATGGATGAAGAAAAAGGACCAAGGCTAGAAGCGCAACTGGACTAGGGTTTGTAAATTTGAGGAGTCGTTGTAGATGGAGTAGGGTAGGGTGAAGAGGAGTTTAGTTTAGTTACCAATTTTATGTTGAGATTATTGTGTCTAAATGTCACCATAAAGATACGATCGAGAGAGAATGGTCTTCAATTTCTGGAAGCAAGCGAGGGTGTTACAGAGAGGGGGGATCAGACTCGCATGGAGATCTAAGGAGAGAGTGAGCGGTCTTCGATCCGATCAAGAGAGAATCGTCACCATAAAGATACGATCGAGGAAAATCGTCTTGAGAGGGGAAGTTATTTGGGAAGAACTTGAAGCATTTGAAACCCTAGACCTTGATTCGATGTAACTTGATAGTGGCCATTGTAGATTGATAGATTGAAGACCTGGAGCGATCCCTTGTGAAGAAAGCTGCGCGATTACAGAGAGTCCTTGTTGACCGGATCCAAAGATTCTGTCAATGGCTCTATCGGGTTTGGTTAAATCCCCAGTTTGGAATGTGCTACATCTGGTTCATGAACTTGCCAAGTCAATTAGGGTTTTTTTTAATGAAAAATGAAAGGGGTTAATAGATTAGGATGATGTCGTACCTGAGAAAACAAAGAAAAAGAAGGAGACCTCGCAGATCAATTACGATTCACCTTCGAGGTTTACAGAGAGACGGGAGGTAGAGAATGAAGGGAGATCTAGAGGAGAGAGTATCAGAGGGGAGAGTGGATTGCAAGGATGAAAAATTAGATAGAAGATAGAAAAACAGGGTGGGTTTTCAAAAATTTGGGGATTTCGTTTCCCCCTTCATTAACTAAAAGCGCGTTTCATTAAAATTATAAAGCGACATGTACAGACGACGCGCGTTTAAGATAAAGCGCCCTCCGTGTTTCTAATTTTTTTTCTTGAGACACTAAATTAAGGGCACGCAATAATGCTTGACGTAAATCCTTAAATGTTTTGGAGAGATAACACTATTTTGAGGGCATGTCCTTTTGCGTATCGTTAATCAGCGCGTGTCGTAGAAAGCGCGTCATTAAAGGTCTATTTTCTAGTAGTGACCCTAAGGCTTCCAATTTTCGGCCACTTGAACCCTAAGAGTCTTCATAGCCGAAATTGTGCCTCTCCCTTCTCTCTCATATCATCCTCTTACTTGTGTGGTGTTTGTAAGCCATTAGAGGAGTGACATTTGTGACTCTAAGCTCCAAGACAAGAAGATTCAAGCCATTTTTCAAGAGGTAATCATCTAGATTTGTTTTCTTATGTTAATTTTGAAATATGTATGCCTGATCTAGGGATTGTAAGTCTTGGATGAATTGCATGTACAATAGAGAAAGCTACATCCAATCTATAGGGTTTGCATTAGCACATAAGATGTTCTTTTGTATTGATGCCTTGTTTGTTCATCCACTCTGAAAATTGTTTTCTGCCCTCTGCCCGACCTGACTCGGTGAATCACTAGCTGTACTCGACGAGTCAGTCCAACTCGGCGAGTCCAATTAGTGACTCGGCGAGTCGGAGCGTCAAATAGAGGGATTTTCGGGATTTCTTGCTGTCTTGTTGAAGGATAATTGCCTAAATCATTTTTGACTAATAAAATACGCTTTTTATTATTGTTATATGAATATCCATACCAGAACAAAAAATAATTACCAATTGTTTGAATAGTTAATTCCTTATATGATAATATTTGATTATTTAAATTATTTGATGGATTATATTGTGAATAAAATGAATTAGGTCAAATTTAGTTAATCATTAAATTAAATGTTTAATTTTAAATTATTTTCTATTCGATCCTATGTGTTTTGAAAAGTTCAAAACTTGCCATCAAGATTTGAATTTAAAATTTTGATTAAAAGTTTAATTTGAATTATTTAAATTTCAAACCCTAGAATTTTACAAGTTTAAAATTCGACCTTATACTTTATTTATCATAAGATATATATATATATATATATATATATATATATATATATATATATATATATATATATATATATATATATATATATATATATATATATATATATATATATATATATATATATATATATATATATATATATATATATATATATCAGTGTTGTAAAAATCGGCCTAGGTGGCCGATTCGGTGCCTAGGTGCTAGGCGGACTGTAACTGACTACGTTTATGTGTAATCGGGGCTGGTCAACGCCGGCCAAACTCAGAGCTATTCGGGTCTAATCGGATCTTGGCGGTTTAATTGGTCAACTTTGGTCAACGAATTTAAAAAAAAATAGGGGCAAAATTGTCAAAACTGAAAAGTTTTGCTAGGGTCCGTTCTCACTTCTCATTCTATCGCCCCCCCCCCCCCCCCCCCCCCCCAATGTGAAAACGTTTTCTGTGGTTTCTCACTTTTTCTCTCAACTCAAAACCAAAATCGGAGAACTTGAAGCTCACCCTTGTCCTTGCCATTACCTCTTGAAGCTGGAATCCGTGAAATCTTGGCGCACCCTTCCGTTTCTCGTCCGCCTTCGTCGCTGTTAGAGCCTCATTTTTCTTCCAACAGAAACATCGGTCTTTATCATCTACATGGTTAGTTCTTCAAACTTCGACTTTACTGATTAACCTCTATTAATCTCGTGAAGAACTGAAGGACTCATCCTCAACTAATTTGTGAAGAACCGAAGGACTCGCCCTCGCCATCACCAGAATCTGTGAACTTCTCCCTCGCCATCGCTGGAATCTGTGAACTCTGCCTAATGTATACATGTTAGTTGTTGTTGATTTAACTTTGTTATGCTGTTAATCAACATATTTGTGCTGTCAAATTCTGATTTAGTCTATTGTCATCGATTTAAGTTGTTAATCAACCGATTTATGATGAACTGGTGATGAAGTATATACTCGAACCTATTGCTTCACATTGAAGACACAAGTTTCTTCACAAATCAACCGATATTTCTATTGGAAAATTGAGTTTACCTATTGCTTCACATAGAGATGAGATTTTACTTTACAGAATAGTTATTACGAAAGGAATGAAAGCCCATATTTGTTTTTCAACTTTGGGAATCAAATTGTATTTCTTGACTGAATCATTTGGTCTTCCTACAGAAGTTCAAGTACTGAATAATCTCTTCCTGATCAAGATCAAGCAGGTCCTTCATGGTTCCAAACAGTTACAAATTCATGGAAATCAAGATTTAATGCTATTTCAATGAGGTTAGGATTTCCTAAAAATGGCATGATTTTGGACAAAGTCACTAGTTCCTTCATAGTTCAAAAATAATATCTTCAACTCGGTTAACCAATCAAATATTTCATTGGTTGTTTGCAAAAGTGAGTAGTTACATTTTCATTCATTCATGTTGTAATATTTGCTTTTCTTTTCACTTTTGTAATGATTTTTTGTAGGTTGTCATGTACCTATATCCATATATGTCGTGTAGAGGGAGAAAATTACCATTTGGTCCTTAATAAACAGTGGGGGTGGGAGGGGTGGAGATGGATTAAACACATGGTTTAATATTTCACAACTATATTTTTCTATCTGATTGTGAAAAAAAACCTTCATATAGAAACATAGATTTGGTATGGATAGCATACGTTATTAGTTATTACTGGATTGTTTGGAGGATTTGTGTTGAATTATGTGCTATACCATTATTATGGAGAGAGCTTGATATTGGGTTAATCACAAGAATGACCATAACTCGATCTCATTCCTGATTGAAGAAAAGTCTCATTCTAAACTGATTATGCTTATTTTGGATGATAAATGGTTGTGCTTGGTAAACTTATTAAGTTATTATTGAACTTGTATGCTTATTTACTTATATTTTAGTATTAAAGTTAGATTTATAAAATTTTGAATTATTTTTTTAATAATTAATGATCCCCGATTAATCCCTCGATTAATCCCTAGACCCCAATCCACTGCCTAGCTAACATCTAGCGTTTTCTGCAATATATATATATATATATATATATATATATATATATATATATATATATATATATATATACACACACACACACACACACACACACACATATATATATATATATATATATATATATATATATATATATATATATATATATATATAGCTTAAACTGCTAATCTTACTGTTAGTAGGCCTCATTCACGAAGCCGATCTATATGGGGGGGGGGGGGGGGGGGGGATAAAAGGTTATGGCCTATAAAATGGCCGTTTAATGGGTGCTCACTCTCACCCACCGCACCCTTGATTGGTGGAGGGTCGTTAGCCGAACGGGTAGGATAGGGAAACCCTTTCCTCATTAAAAGTATAATGAATTATAAAAGTAACTAAATGTTTTTCAAAAAATTCCCAATCTTAGTTACTTTAGGCAAAAGTGAAATTGATGCAATTCCATGAAATTACACTGTGTACCCTTGCTAAGACAATAGTGGAGCGTGTGTGGTTAACCGACACACTAATTGGGATCTAAGAAAAGTTGGCAAAGGGTCACTCATTGTTTTTCATAGTTCGATGGAGCGTGTGTGGTTAACCGGCACATCGAATAGGTGATTGTAACAATGAGGGCACCATGTACATTTTCATGGTTATTCACACCCGCTTTGTGTTCCTCGTCATCCCAGTCACAAACTTGAGGGGAATATCGAGATTTAAACATGCCATTGAAAAGTTCAATGAATCTCAAAAGATCTAGGAGTTTTCAATACATTTAAAACTTAATCTCCTTTTCATTTTTCATGGTGGAGAATTAGTGAATCGTCATTCATTTACCTTCAAATTAGTTGCATATTAGATTACGACATCCCTTTTCTAATTTGTAAATAATGTTGTTGGATCCTAGCCCTAATTTCTCATTTGGGTGTTTAATTGGGGATTCATTTCTAATCAAACTTTGTCTCTTTTCTATTTAAGATGTCGAACGTCAACAACAATGCTTCCGGCTCAAATTCCTCTGGCTCGTTCTCACTCATGAACTTGTGTGGGAGAGTGATCTTTGACGGGTCCAATTTCAGTGATTGGATCCGCAACATTTGAATGGTCACTCATTATGAAGACAAAGAGTATGTCATTGATGAGAAGCTGAAGGAAATCAACATCAACACTGCCTCTGCTGAAGAGATCGCGGCCTTTGAGGCCCATGAGCGTGATTCTACGAAAGTCCATTGCATCATGTTGGCGACTATGACTGTAGAACTCTAGAAGTCCTATGAGGACAAGTATTCCTATGAGATGCATCAAGATTTGCTGGACCGGTACCACCAAAGTGTTAGGCAAGAAAGGTACGAGATCATCACCTCGATGATCACTGCCAAAATGGGTAATGGAGAGTCCCTTACCGCTCATTTGCAAAAGATGCAGAGATATGTTGACCGTATGCTAAAGTTAAATGTTAACTTTGATGAAAAGCTAGCAATTGACATCATCCTTCATTCCTTGCCTCCCTGCTACAATCAGTTCCACATGACCTACCACATGAATAAGGAAGAGGTCACTTTGAGCAAGCTTCAAGGCTTGCTAAGGACTGCTTAGAGCAATCTCAAAGATAAGTCTGTTGCATCAACTTCTGCTCACGCTGCTTCCCTTGTCTTGGCAATAGGGCAAGGGAAGGGTAAGAAGAGGAAGGATCCCTCAAAGACCAACCACAAGGGAAAGTCCCAAGATGGTACCTCTTCTAGTGGAACCAAGGTTGGTTCTGCTAAACCCAACTCTAACCTTAAGGTGGCAGAGTGCCACCACTGCCACAAGATAGGGCATTGGAGACGAAGCTGCTCAGTGTATGTGCAAGCTATCAAGGATGGGAACATCAAGCCATCCTTCGTGGGTATTTACACTATTAAATATAATGATTCATTGTATTCTATTTCTTGGGTTCTTGATACAGGATGTGGTTTTCACATATGTTCTGATTTACAGGGACTAAGAAGAAATAGGGATGTGGAACATGGGAAAATAAACTTGATCATGGGAAATAGAAGATCGTCGCCTGTCACCAAGATTGAAGTTTATTCTTTAGTTCTAAGTAACAGATTAGGTTTAGATTTAAATAATTGTTGCTATTCGTCAGATATGGGAAGAAACATCATTTCTTTTCTTGGTTTATATAGATAAGGATTTAGATATTCATTTGATAATAAAAATGGTTCTATTTATGATTATCTTAATGGTGTTTTATATTTTGAAGAACTACTTTGTAATGGAATATATGAAATTGTGATGATTGTAGATAATTTAGGAAATGATGTGTTGTGTATTGATTCTTCCAATAGTTTGGATAAGGCATGCTTATGAAATTATCATCTTGGACATGTCAACAAGAAATGCATAACCCAACTATAAAAGGATGGGGTGTTGGAGTTATTCGACCTTAGGGACGATGACGTGTGCGAGTCTTGTTTACTTGGAAAGATAACCAAGTCACCCTTCACTGGCACTTGTGAAAGGGGTGATAGTTTATTGGATCTCATACACACCGATGTGTGTGGGCCCTTTATATCTACCATAAGGGATGCGAACCGCTTCTATATGACTTTCACCGATGATTATAGCAGATATGGGTATATCTACTTAATCAAGCACAAGTTAGAAACCATTGAAAAGTTCAAAGAATTTAAACAAGAAGTGGAGAATCAGTTGGGTAGGAAAATCAAGATGATTTGATCCGATCGAGGTGGAGAGTACCTAAGTCTTGAATTCCAAAACTACCTTAAGGAATGCAGAATCATTTCGCAACTGATGCCACTAAGGACACTGTAGTTGAATGGTGTAGTTGAGAGGCATAATCGAACCTTGTTAGACATGGTTCGTTCCATGATGAGTCATGCTTCACTACCTATCTCATTTTTGGGGTATGCCTTAGAGACTTCCGCCCATATCCTTAACTTAGTCCCTACAAAGAAGGTTTCCAAAACACCACACGATATGTGGACAGAGAAAGCTCCCTTGTTGGCACATATCAAGGTTTTGGGTTGCGAGGATTTTGTAAGACGAGAGACTCACGACAAGCTCGAGCCTCGTTGTGAGCGGTGTATTTTCATCGGCTAACCACAAAATTCCTTTGGATATCTCTTCTATAGACCGAGTGACAATTTTGTCTTCGTTACGAGGAGAGGGGTTTTTTTGAGAACAAGAACTCTTAAGGCAAGGGAACAATGGGAGGAAAATCGATCTTGAAGAGCTTCAAGAGTTGAGCGATGAAGGAACCTCTAACGCTGGTGATACGTTTATTAATGATAGTACACTAATAAATTTGGATGAACCTAAAAGCTATTAGGAAGCCATGGCAGGCCCAGAGTATGCAAAGTGGAAGGAGGCGATGGACAGCGAGATTCAGTCCATGTATGACAACCAAGTTTGGAATTTGGTTGACAATCTACAAGGTCGTAAGACGGTCGGGTGCAAATGGATCTTCAAGAAGAAGACCGACATGGATGAGAGGGTGCAAACTTATAAGGAGCGATTGGTTGCGAAGGGCTTTACTCAAACTCTCATAGTTGACTATGGTGAGACCTTCTCACCAGTTGCGAAGATAAAGTCTATTAGGGTGATTTTGGCCATTGCTGCATTTCATGACTATGAAATATGGCAGATGGATATCAAAACCGATTTCCTTAATGGGAAGTTAGGTGAGGATGTTTACATGAGTTAGCCAGAGGGTTTTGTCAATGCAAAGCATCCCAATAGAGTGTGTAAGCTTGAGAAGGTCATTTATGGACTGAAACAAGCATCTCGCAGTGGAATCTTTGTTTCGATGAGAAAGTCAAAGAGTTTGGTTTTCTGCGAAGAAAGGATAAATCATATGTATATGTCAAAGCCAGTGGGAGTATATTTTGCTTCCTCGTATTGTATGTCGATGACATACTGCTCATAGGAAACGACATCCCGACGATGTAGGAAGTAAACTCATGGCTTCGGAAGCGCTTCGCTATGAAGAACCTCGGAGAGGCTGCCTATATTTTGGGAATAAGGATAGTGAGAAATAGCAGTAAAACAATAATAGGAATTAGTCAGAATACTTACTTGGACAAGGTACTAAAACGTTTTAGTATGGTGAATTCCAAGTGTAACAACGTAAATTTTAAAGCCAAAATTTTCAATTTTAATTTCATAAAACACACGTCATTTTAAATAAACACCCTTTAATACTCAACAAAGTTTTCAAAGCATTATCAAAATCCAGGATCCTCATTTATAACTCTTTTCTCTTTGCATGTACAATTGAGCCGCCACCTTAATGCGATCCTGATAAGAACCTAAAACAGATAACACATAACACGGTAAGCACGAAGCTTAGTGAGTTCCCCAAAATACCAAATACAAAACATATTAGCCACTCGAGGCTATAACTCTGTATGAACCTTTGATCAATGTGTCTCAGTGGGGCCCTCCAGTCCTATAAATCTGTGGACCTTCTGGTCCTAACTCTGTAGACCCTCTGGCCCTAACTCTGTGGACCTTCCAGTCCTAACTCTGTGGACCTTCCGGTCCTAACTCTGTAAACTCTGAATCATACATAACACAAATCACATAGAAATAATGCAGTGTATTTGATCATATAAATAGAATACAAGATACTCTGTCACATAAATCTAACTACCACTCTTGGTAAAGTATAGTGAGAAGACTCACCTTGGGTAAAGAACAACTCCTATAGATATTGCTGCTATGCATCGGCTCTAACTCTTTGCCAACCCAACAGTTATATCAATTAGGAGCTAAGTCCAACCTCTCCCTTATTAGGTCTAAAGATAGACCACCTATTGGCCCATCAATGCCCTAAACCTATTAGGCCCACCAAGGCCCAATAATAGATGGGCTTC